TTCCACTTAAGGATTTTAAGAGCATGGTGATCAAAGCAATGCTTTTGGAAAGTGTTTCTAGGTTTAAAAAAAAAATCCCCATCTGGTAAATTCTTTTAGGTCTCATAATCTCCTTAAGTAGTATATTAAATTCAAAAATGAATTATACCATGTGGAAAATGAATCAAAACAACGGACAGAGAAACCACAGCTTTTATCCATCTGGTGGCAGGAGACAGGGCAAAGTGAAATGGGGCAGGAACAGGACTGCAATAGGACAATGAACTGAAAGCATCATTGGAGGCCGTGTTGGTTACTTTTCTCTCGCTGCTGAGACAAAATACACGACACCCAAAATTAAAGAAGGAAAGGTTTATCTAGCTCACAGTTTGTGCAGGTTTCAGTCCATAATCAGCTGGCTCCAGGACTGGGTGGCATGGCACAGTGGCAACTGTTCATGGCAGAAGAAGACAGAATTTGGCAACAGAGAAGTGGGGTCATTACTGTGACTATACCTGATGATGTGTTTCAAGAGCCTTTGGGAATTATTCGTGGGAAAAGTTTGGAAAGGTTCAGAGATGTCATCTGAAAGAGTAGAGCTAAAATGCCTTAGGCTGTTCTGTGTTGGAGATTCTGGTCAGGGCTCAGAAGACCAGAAAACTGGTAAAGAGCAGGCTTGGGAGGTTTCTGTTGGGAAGAAGGATTACATTGGCTGCTGGATTCCAGATGATGTGTGCTGTGGATTGGCAGGAAGTTTGTCTGCATTTTGCTCATGTCCAGAGAGTTTGCCCACACTGAGATTAAGGGTGATGGACTAACTAATCTGGCAGAAGAAATTTCAAGGCAGTTGAACAGTGAGGCTGTGGCATGGCCATTGTTGAGGATGTTTAGCCAGATTTATGTTGAGAATCAAAAGCAAAGAGCCCAGCAAGGTGATTTAAAATGTTGTGAGTTTGGCCAGAAGGGAAGCTCCAGTAAAGATGTGGACTGCAAAGATAGAGCTGGGGAGATCTTAATTGTTGAGAAGAAGCAGGAGAATATAAAAGATGGCCTGAGGGCCTCACAAGAAGCAATAAGACTATACCCTTTGCAGTCTCAAAACTGTGAAAATGAGAGACTTTGCTTTGAGGTGAAAGCTGCAGAGCACTATGTTTCAGAATGGTGGCAGCCACAGCAGGTTCCAGAATGATGGCAGCATAGAAAATTTGTTCTTCAGAATTAGATTCAGAGGGCTGGGGATATAGCTCAGTGGCAAAAGCACCTGCCTGGCAAGTGCAAGGTCCTGAGTTCAATTCCTGGTACCAAAAAAAAAAAAAAAAGAATTGGATTCAGAGATCCAGGAACTTGACCCCTACAACCAAGAGAGAAGAAAGCCTGGCTACTGTTCCAGCAGACCCTGGCATCATCCATGTGGTGCTGATTTTAGATGCATGCAGAATGCACAAGTAGTAGGGTTAAGAAGGCTTCTACCCTGGTTTTAGAAGGCCTGGGAGGCCAGGCAGTGTGCCTATGAGAGGGGAGTGTGAGAAGCTGTGAGTGTGAAGCTGAAGGTACAGTGGAGACCCCAGAAGTTTAGAAAAGCCAGGAATATGGATCAGCTAAGGAAAGCTGCAAGGAGGGAGCAAAGTAGGTGTAAGAGAGGTCATGGAAGCTACAACTAAAGCAGAAAAGCCTTTTTTATTTTATTTTATTTATTTATTTTTGTTTTTTTTCTAGTACTGGGAATCAAACTCACGACCTCACACTTGCCAGGCAGATGCTGTGCTGCTGAGCTAAAACCCAAGCCCCAATTCTATTTTTATTTTTCCAACCTGGTCCATGTAATATGGCCTCCTCCCTTGTTCTAGGATGCCTGCAACTCACTTGCTCCATGCCAATATCTTGGGCACTATGTTTTCATTTCCCATTTGACCCACCTGTTCCCCAAAGTAACGGAACCTACCCCACCCTATCAAAAACCTACAGCTCTGATTCTGTACTTCCTGCCAGTAAAAGCCTATAAAAGCCCCAGACCACCAGAGGGCGGGGCCTGGCTTTCTTTGTTGTTGGGCATGAACCCAGCCAGGACCACCCCGGACCACTGGTGTAAAATAAAGCTGTTCACTGCCTCCAAATCCTGGGTGTCATTTCAGTGTTTCTGCTTGCCATAGCACAACCACCAGAAGTGCCATCGGGGTGGAGCCACCCAAGCCTTTTGGAGCTCATAACTTGCCACAGATTGCCTCACATATTTGCCCTGCTGGATTGTGGATTTGCTTTGGTCCCAATCCTTTGAATCCCCTTTTGTAACTTTTGGAGTAAAAATTTTTATCTTGTGCCACTGAATGCTGGAAGTGTTTACCTTTTCATTTGTACAGAGACTTGCAGCTAAGAGTTTGCCTTATATCTCAAAAGACACTTGGGACTTAGACTTTTCAGCAATGCTGAAACTGTTAGGACTTTGGCAACTCTTTGACATAGACTAAATGCCTTTTGCATAAAGGGATGTGCATGAGTTCGCGGGGGCCAGGGGTGGAATGCTATGGTTCTAATGTAATATAATGTTGATAGACTTGATACTGATTCTTAATGTTCAAGTTATGAAATGATAAGAGTAAGCATGTCTTTATATTTAGGAACCGGTTTAAAGAAATGTGCCTGTTTGCAATTTGACAAGGGGTGGATTGTAATGGTTGATACATTGTGTCAACTTGAGAAGTTTAGCTGTTTAACTCAGCAGGGGACCAGGGTCCCCACTTTGTAAACATTATCATGCTGTGCAAGAGGAGGGCATGGAGATGGTGTGAGTGCTTCACCTGCCCTGGGAGGAGGTAACCTGCTTACAATATAAGGGAGGAAAAGAGGCTTGCTCTTCCTTTTTGCTCCTGTTGCTTTTGCTGTTTCTGCCGCATTGGACTGCTGCCCCTGTGCCACCCTGCCTTGGAGCCAGCTGATTATGGACTGAAACCGCCACAAACTGTGAACTAGGTAAACGTTGCCTTCCTTAATTTTGGATGTTGGGTATTTTGTCTCAGGAACTAGAGAAAAGTAACCAACACCAATAATCAAGGCAGGTTGTAATAAAATCTGGCAGGAAGAACCAGAACAAAGAGGAAAGAATAAAGGAAAAAGACTAATTAGGTGACTGAGACTGGAAAAAAGGCAAAGACAAAGGCGAAGTTTTCAGGTTGTTGGACTGGCAATCTGGAAGAGCAAAGTCTGAGAAAGACACACAGAAATAAGCAATTAGAGTTTGTGGATATGAGTTTGGGAAGAAGGGAAATAAACCACATGTAGGAATCAACCACATTGAGGTAAAATTGAAACCATAAGACTGACTTGCATCTGTGAAACACAGAATGGAGAAGAAAAGTCAAGCTAAAATCTTGCACTGGTCTAAACCCTTTATAAAATATATTGTTTCATTTATCCCTTACAAATGAAGCCTGAAGTGGCTACAAAACCTCTGTTTTAAACTGGGCATGGTGGCGCACACCTGTAATCCCAGCACTCAGGAGGCTGAAGCAGGAAGACTGCTGTGCATTTGAGGCCAGCCTGGGCTACATAGTAAGACCCCGCCTCAAAAAGCAAAACAAAACAAAATAAATCTCTGTTTTACAGTTGTAGAAACTAAGGCAAGAGCCAGGCATGGTGGTGCATGCCTGTAATCCCAGCACTCGGCAGGTTGAGGCAGGAGGATCGTTGAGAGTTTGAGGCCAGCCTGGGCTACAAAGTGAGCTCAAGGCCAGCCTGAACCGCATAGTGAGACCCTGTCTCAAAAAGACGGAAAAAAAAAAAAAGAAACTAAGGCAAAAAGGAATTAGGTCACTTGCCTAATGTCACATAATTAGTCTATAGTGAAACAAAATTGTTAAAGCCAAGGAATCTGAATACATTCTTAATTTCTGGGCTATCATGCCTTCTTCCTCAGCCCTGCAGCCCCTTCACTTAAACTTTCCTAAGATAGGGTAGCCTAGCAACAAACACAACGCTCAGGCCAGAGTTACTTTACCCATTTGCCTAGTGTAATCCCAAGTAGATCCGTATCTTTCTAACTGAAGATACTACAATATAATTGAAACTGACTTCACATTCTATTGTTTTATGGGAAATGTAGAATAAAACAGAAATTGATATGGTAAGAAGGGAAAGAAAAGGGAGAGAGGGGTTGCTGGCATTTATCACTCAATTTGGATTGCACTTGCTGAAACAGTTCAAATGCACAGACAAAAGAATTTTATTTCATAAACTGAATATCATTAGTCAAAGTGAAAATAGAGGTCAAATGCCACAAAACTCACCATCTTGACTTTGTAGCAAAAGAGACAAAAAGAGTCTTTCAACTATCTTGGCAGCAAAAAAAGCTAATTTCTAGTAAACAGTAACAAGAAATCTCATTTCTGGATTATTAACATATTGTGATTTACCCAGGAATTGAGGAAATAAGCACCATTTGGAAAAGTAAAAAACTATATTAACAAGCCAGGTGTGGTGGCACATGCCTGTAATCCCAGCACTCAGGAGGCTGAAGCAGGAGGATCGCTGTGAGTTCGAGGCCAACATTGACTACAAAGTGAGTTCAAGGCCAGCCTGAACTACATAGTGAAACCAGGTCTCAAAAAGAGAAAGAAAAGAAAAAACTATATTAATAGCATCACATACTTACTCCTTTGCATATAGGAAGGTCATGGAGGCGGCTGGCGGAGGGAGGGGAAGTAGTAAATTAAACTTTAGCCGAAGTCACCAGTACCTCATTTCAGTAGTAGACATAGCAGTGTCTTCTTCCTGAAGAAGAAGTATTCTGGTTTTTGGACTCTGTATATAATGTATTCTGGTTTTTGAACTCTGTATATAATGACTGCCTCAGGTAAGTATTCTGGTTTTTGGACTCTGTATATAATGACTGCCTGCTAATCTGTTAGATTATTAAGGACTATTTTGTTTTTGTTTTTTTTTTTTGGTTTTTTTTTTTTTTTTGGTTTTTCTCCGGTACCGGGAACCGAACTCACGACCTTGCACTTGCCAGGCAGGCTCTTTGCTGCTGAGCTAAATCCCCAGCCCCTATTAAGGACTATTTTGAAATGCACAGATCATAGAAACTGTAAACTTTGCTTTCTGTCAGTCTCACTTTAAGGCCAAAGACACATATAACTTCTGTAGTTTACTCAGGAGCCACAGAGCTCTCTGGTTTGCTAAGACCCTAGAAAAAATGGGGACTATGCAATAAATACTTCTGAACTACATTCTTAAAAGAGCTAAGTGTTTTTGAGTTTAAATCCTATCTTCAACTGTGTTTATAGGAATTGTAAGGATTGTAACGCTTTAAATTATTCGAGGACAAATAAATGTTCACTTTGCTTTAGAGCAGGGGTCAGTGAACTCTTTCCCTAAAAGGCCAGCTAGCAAATATTCCAGACTTGAGGGGCCATATGGTGTCTGTCATAACAACTCACTTCAGCTACTGTAATGGGAAAGCACCCATAGACAGAACAGGGACAAGGAAGTGTTGCTACATTCCAGGAAAGCTTTATTTACGCACAAAGATAGCAAGCCAGATTTGGCGTGTGGTCAATAATTTGTCAACTCCTGCTCTAAAGTGATGATTTTCGAACTTCACATGCATCTGAATTGCACATGGAGTTGAAAGGGTGGTTTCCTAGCCCCTAGCCAGCCCCTACGGAATCAGCATTCTAGGAAAGGGGCCACAAGATCAGCAGTTTAATAAAGTCCAAGTGGCGTGTGAACGTTACTTACAAAATCCCTGAGGCGTCCAGCCAGCTTCATCTAAGCTGGGAGGGCCCTACTGTCCTAGAGACAGTCCAGTGCTTCCTACATCCTGTGGCAATAAAAATACCTAACTTTTACCTTTGGCCTTTGTAGAAAGTGTAGATGAACACACTGCTGCTCTTGGCTTCCAACCTGTATACTGCATAAAATAAATTCAGTCTGGACAAAATTAACATGAACCAGGGATAAATTTGAAAGAAAATCCTTAACTTGAAATAATAAGTTTTCAACCAAAAATCTCCCTGAAGTTCTTTAGATTGCAAAATTAGTAGACAAGATCCTTACCAAAAAGATAAAGTTAAATATAAAGGAACAGTTTTCAGTGTTCTTTTTTCTCTGCAATATCTCTAGCAAAGGCCTAGTTGTTGCCTGGATTTTCACTAATAAATCATTATATTCCGTTTGGAGGTTTTTGCTTCAACAAAACCTCATTAAAATTCATGTAGAAACAGAAAGTATAAAATCTCTATAGGCTTCTGGAAACTGTTTCCAACTTTATCAGTAGGAAATAATTTATTCAGCAAAGTACATTCTGACTAAATGAAGAAAGTGGTTTTTAAATTTATTTCTCTGTTTTAATGGCCAGAAATCAATCATTTGATCCATCAAAGAAGTGCAGCTCAGTCAAGGATAATTCAACTTCTTCAGCTCTCCAGATTTTCCTAGGGAAACAGTGAAAATCCTACCATCAGAGGGATGGGTTTTAGAAATTGGGAATAATCTGCAGATACCTCCAGAGAACACAGCTCTGATTAAAGCTCCCGCCAGTCCTAGACATGGAGAGGAATACTCTCTGACACAGCAAGGTCCAACAGTTACTGAAACTTGGGTTTAGAATGTGTCCTCCTGTTATCAGTACCAGCTGAGACAAACTACTTCCGGCTAGGTAATACTAAGATGATTGTGAGCTTTCTCAACACACACCTAAGGATTTTAAGGAAAGAAGACCCAGAAGTTTACCAAGGAGCAGGGCTGGGGATATAGTTCAGTGGCACAGTGTCTGCCTTGCAAGCTTGAGGTCATGAGTTTGATTCCCAGTAGTACCCAAAAAACCACCCAAAACAAATAACTATTGGGGCTGGGGATTTAGCTCAGCGGCAAAAGCGCCTGCCTGGCAAGCGCAAGGTCGTGAGTTCGGCTCCCAGTACCGGAGAAAAACCAAAAACCAAACAATGACTCTTTACCAAGGAGCAGAGTGTAGCCAGGCCGAGAGTAGAACTCTACCACCAATATACTTTATAGATGTCATGTGTAGGAAGTGGGGTTTAGCTTTAGAGTTAACAGTCAACATTTTAGGTAGCGTGACTTTGGCAACATCCACAGGGTGAGCTTCTGTCTATTCCCCTCTTCCATGGCAACAAAATCTGTGAAATAGGGATACCCGTCTTCCTGCTTGGTTTCCTACTTCCAAAGGGGTCACAATTAGAGTCTCTGGTATTAATATTAAGAGTCCAAATGTCTAGCAAAGCCAGGGGCCCAACACACTTACCCACCCTCCCTGGGCCTGGATGAAGTCACAGACGGCTCTGTTCTCATTGATCATACTCATCATAGGGATAGCCACCCGCCTTGCCATTTCAGGAGCCACACGGCCCACATACTTAAGAAATTTCACTGACACTGCCAGAAAGGCTTTCTCATACGCGAGGCTAGAATCCTGAGCACACCAGGTCTCACTGAGACTGCGCTGTGTTCTGAAGTACAGCTCCTACCTAAGGAAGGAGAAAGGATGTATCAGTAAAGTATCACTTAAAAAGTGTAGGAAGCTGCAGTTCAGGAATCCACTAACGCAAGTGTTGCCCAAGGAGTGGCAGATGGACCTGAGGTATTAGCAGGCAGGAGGTAGATGAACTTTTCTCACTTTAATATTGTGTTATTTTAATGAATATTAGAAAAGTATATAAGCAACCCATCAAGTAACTCATCAAATCCATGATTTCAGATATTATTGCTTAGGATGAACAATATGAAAGAAAAACAAAATGATCTGAGAGAAAAATATTAAGTACATGAGAACATAAAGGGTCAAAATGTAAAGGTATTATTTGCACAACTAGGAAATGTCTAGGAAATTCTTTTAAAACAAATTAGCTCTGTGTATTTCCTCTTTCCCTTTGCAAACACTTTGGTCCAAATGCTAGTAGGTGAGGCCAACCAAGGCTTTTTAGGGTGTAGGAGGCAAAGAATGGTCAGATGAGGGTATCAGAATTCAGACAAGCTGGGCCAGAATATAGCTCAGGGGCATAGCACCTGCCTGGCAAGTGCGAGGTCCTGAGTTTGAGTCCTGATATCAAAAAAATTCAAACAAGCTGAGAAGAGAATCCACGTGGGAAAGTACCTAGGTCTTAATTTCTAAGACCTAGGTACTTCTTTCATTAAAGGAAACCACTGGGGAGGCTGAGGCAGGAGGATCGTTGTGAGTTTGAAGCCACCCTGGGCTAAGAGAGTTCAAGGCCAGCCTGAACTGCATAGTTTCATTCTTTCATTAAAGGAAACCACTGGGGTTCTTTCATTCTTTCATTAAAGGAAACCACTGGGGAGGCTGAGGCAGGAGGATCGTTGTGAGTTTGAAGCCACCCTGGGCTAAGAGAATTCAAGGCCAGCCTGAACTGCATAGTAAGACCCTGTCTCAAAAAGACAGAAAAAAAAAAGAAAAAAAAAGAAAAAAAAAAAAGGGAAACCGGAGCTTCCTGGAGTATTGTTCTGGTCTGGGCATGGAAAAGTACAAGATGTTCTGTTAGAGAAATTAAGCAAGTATTTGTAGAAAAATGCATACACCTCAAGACTGTAATGTTAAATGAAATAAATCAGACACAGAAGGCTAAACAGTGTATATTTTCTCTTATATGGGAAACCCAAAGGATGAATAATTTAAACAGCAAAATAAAGGATAGATGCTAGGAAACAGGGAGATAAACTGTATGGAGGTGGGAAGGGGATTTGAGGATGGGGAAGATGGGAGACGGGACAGGAAGGGAAAGTGAAAAGAAGAAGAAAAAAGAACTTTGATATAAAATATTCTCATTTTCAAAAAGGAATAAGGATATGCTCAAGCCATCATGCTAGTGCACACCTATGATTCCAGGACTCTAGGAGGCTACGGCAGGGGGATCCAAATGTGAAACTTAGCAAGATCCTGCCTTAAAAAACAGAAAAACAAAATCCCAGCACTTGGGAGGCTGAGGCAGGAGGAGCGTTGCGAGCTCAAGGTCAGTGAGCTCAAGGCCAGCCTGAACTGCATAGCAAGACCCTGTCTGAAAAAGACAAAAAAAAAACTCAAACAGGTAGGGGCTAGGATGTAGCTCAGTGTGAAGGTTCTGGGTTCAATCTCCAATCCAAAAGAAAAGGAAGTACTCAAAAGTCAAAACATGCTACAGATACAACAAAAAGACACAGTCCTGATTTTTTAAAAAGATTCTTCCCATCTAAATAAATAACAACAGTAACAGATTAATAACCCATTGAATAAAGTAGGAATTCATAAATCTATGTCGATATAGAAATGAACAGACAAATTTTAAGGAGTTAAAGGATATTTACATAGCTTTAAAAAAACATTACTTTTTTTATTGTTCATGTTTGCATTACATAATGTTTACATTTCTTGTGTGGAGTTGGTTTGTGTACCTAACAGATCTTAATTTCTACTTCAGATTGAAGGGTACTAAAAGGACATAATAACTAAAATGTAATATGTGATTCTGGCCTAGGTCTTTTTGCTATAAATGATATTATTGAAACAAGTGGCAAAATTTGAATGTGATCTAAGAATTAGATATTTCTTGGTCTTGTTAGATTGTGGTTATGTAAGAAAAAGAAAATATTAAAGTATTAAAGGGTGATAAAATATGTCAGTTACTTATTCTCAAGTGATTCGTGAGATAAATTCTTCCCTCTATCCTTCTGACTTTTCTATGAGTTTGAGGCTGTTTCAACTTTTTATTTGTCTTTTTGAGACAAGGCCTCACTGTGCAGTTCAGGCTGGCCTGAAGCTCACTTTGTACCCAGGCTGGCCTCAAACTGAACTTGCAGCGATCCTCCTGCCTCAGCCTCCTAAGTGCTGGGATTACAGGCATGCACCACCACACTTGACTATATTCTTTATATCAATCTAAGTGCTACTACCCAGTAATCAGGGTTCTGATGAAACGCCAGTGTGGTTAGTCAGGACTTATCCCCAAATGTATCATACTTATAAACTCCCCATCCTTTCTATATGTCCATCACTGCTGAATCTTGTAGGGTGGGGAAGGAAGATGCCGAGCCTCACAAAAATAAGTACTGAAACATGCACAAAAGATACTTTGCTGAGAATAAAGTGCTCTGTGCACACTAAGCTTTGATGAACACCAAGTGGAAGAAAGCTAAAAGTTGGTCGTTCCCTGTCAAGAGTTTCCATCACTATACTACACAGGTTTTGATTAATTCCTAAAGAGCTGGCAATGAGCATGTCCTGCTCTATCTCCTTGGATATATATGAGATCCCAAACCTCTCACAGAACATTCATACTCACAGTACAAAGGAGTAGGAAGGAAAGGAAGAATGAAGTAGGAAAGCAGCAAACAATACAGGAGGTAAAAACCTGACCCGTCCCTGAGTAGTTTGCGCAATGATGTTTTTGGCAGAATCTTCTAATTCTCCATTGAACCGGTCACCTAACATCCGAAGTCGTCCAGCTATGAGCCGCATCAAAAGAGCAAGGCTCTCCTAAGACAGAGGAAACACATTTGTCACAGCTTGAAGGGATGGAAATTCTTAGGAATCTGAGCGAGAGGGAAAATTCTTGTCTTAGAAACAATTTTAGCATTGTTCTCTCCCAAGAACTTCAATGATCTGTCCACATCGATAGTCATCAGTAGTCAAAATCTTGCCAGGCATAGTGGCACACACCTGTAATCCCAGCACTAGGGAGGCTGAGGCAGGAGGATCCCTGTGAGTTTGAGGCCAGCCTGAGCTGCATAGTGAGACCCTGTCTCAAAAAGACAAAAAAAAAAAAACCCCAAACAAAAAAAAAACCCAAACAAACAAACAGTCAAAATCTCCCTTCAGTAAGAATCTTTTTCTTTCCGAAGTTAAGAGAAAATGAAGACCCAGGTGTGGCAGTGCACACGTATAATCCTAGCACTCGGGAGGCTGAGGCAGGAGGGTCCTTGTGAGTTCAAGACCAGCCTGGGCTACAAAGTAAGCTCAAGGCCAACCTGAACTGCATAGCGAGACCCTGTGTTAAAAAGACAAAAAGAAAAAAAAAAAAAAAAGAGAAAGAAAAGAAAATGAGGAAAGCATACCCAAGTTCTCTAATATTGACTTGAGAATAGGCCAAGAATCTTACCCGAGGCTGGTTCATCTACACTGCATAGGCCCCGACTAGCCACCTGTAATGTTGGGCTCAAGAAGTCTGTGAGTAAAGTATTGATGATGCATTCTGTTTGCTCCTTAAATGTTTGGGGACTCTTCATCTTAGATGCCTACCACTGAGATTTGCTCTTCCACAAAACAAGCAGCTTCAGCTCAGCAGGAAGATAGAAACACCAGTAAACTAAGCAGACATGTCTACCTCTTATAAACTTTCCTATTGGACATGTAGTCCTGGGATTTTTTTCCCAACCAGGTTTCCTCAAAAATACTTGTTCAGAAATGTGGGACTTCTCTCAAAAGCTTGCCCACATGGAACCAGGGTGACTTGTTGAAGAGTTTCAGTTCCTTATCTCAGAAACACACCCTAGCCAGTACATATTGCTAATGAATAACTTTTAGTTTTGCATAGCCAGTTTAGAACTGAAATCAAGTTAGGAGTCTCTACACAATGACTGAGCATCTATGTGCGTGGAACTTCACATTACAAATGAGGCAGAAAAATGACATGTTTGTGGTACTGACAGTACAGCAGAAATGACAGCTATTAATTGGTAAATCACAAATCTCATAATTTCTTATGCTCTTGAGATACAATGTACTGCAAGAGCATGATAGGGAAGAATACTTAAAGAGATCGTGAAGGCTTCTTTAGAATAGTAACATCTGCATGAGGGCTGAAGGGTATGGTGGAGTTCATCAAGCAAGAAAGGAGAAATAGGACTATTTGAGATGGAAGTGAGGTAGAGGAAATAAAGATAGGTTAAAAGGAGGTAAGGAGATTGTAGTTTTGAAATTACAATTTTAAGAAAACTGCAGCTCTGAAACACAATCAAACTTAACCTAAGGTTACAATTTTTTTTTTTTTTTTAACCCTTAGCCCTGTTTTCCTTCTAGGCTCTTTCCTCTTAAATCTCTAAGGGTCTTACAGATATAACAAGTACATAAATTTGGCCTGTATATTTCTGTTTTGTGTTTGTCTTTTTGAGACAGGGTCTCGCTATGCAGTTCAGCCGGGCCTTGGACTCACTTTGTAGCCCAGGCTAGTATCGAACTCACAAAGATCCTCCTGCCTCAGCCTTCGAGTGCTGGGATTACAGGCATGCACCACCACACCCAGCATTGGCCTGTATTTTTCTGCTGATATATAACTGCCAAAGACTTCCACTCTCAGAGAGACAGTATTATTAACTGGGTACATCTCCAAACTTCAAGCACATACAAATGGTTTGCATTTAACCTAGTTGATAAAGCCAGTTTTTGCTTTAGCTCTCTAAAGAACAACTTGACATTAAAGACACGGACACTAGGTAAGTGATAAGTCAAAAGATAAACATCCCAGACCATCTGTCTTGAGGGTACCCCCAAATCACGTAAGTACCTCTTATTCTAGACCACTCTGCACCTCACCCGAGGACCTGCATTCTTTGTTGAGTGCTACTTCTGCCTTGCAGCACTAAGCTTCAAGCCCAGGGGCTTCCCACTGAGCTACATGCTCAGTCCTTTTTATATTTTATTTTGGGACAAAGTATTACTAAATGCCCAGGCTGGGCTTGAACTTGTGATTCTTGCCATACCAGAGGGCTGGGATTATAGGTGTGAAACACCATGCCCACTAAGTGTATACTTTTATATTTCACTTAATATCTATATGCTTCTCATTGACACATCTGGAATGCTTTTCTGTGATACTGAGTCAAGAACTTGGCCAAGAAGTCAGGAAGAGTAGTAGATGCCTATAATCCCAGCACTCAGGAGGCTGAGGCAGGAGAATGGCTTCAAGTTCAAGGTCATCCCAGGCTATATAGTGAGTTCAAGGCTAACCTGTATTACATACCACTAGCCTGTCTCAGAAAAAGGAAAAAAAAAAGAACCTAGTCCCTGTCAGGCAAGGTCCTTCTCTCCTCTTTGAGTGGGCCTCTTTCAATCCCATCCAGTGACAGAAGGGGTGGCAGATATAAAAATCAGAAAGGTGGGAAAAAATCCAATTGGGGATTTGAGGAATTATAAATAGTGATAATACAAAGTATTTTATCGGAAAACTATGAGAATGAAATAAGATAATGTTATATGGAATGTCCTAACTCTAGTATGCAGTAAATGTTTTTTTTCCTTTTTTTTTTTTGGCAGCAGAAACTGAACTCATGACCTTGCACTTGGCAGGCAGGCACTTTGCCACTGAGCTATATCCCTGGCCCCTTACAGTAAATGTTAAATATCTCCTTTTTAGCTAAAGGCCTAATGACCAGGATGAAAGGGAACCGAGATGCACTGTCTTTAACAAAGACGTTTGCCTAAAAATACCAAACACAAAAAAACCCCCAAAACAGAGGGGTTTTCATAAAGGACCGACTGTTAATGTTTTAAGAGATTTCATGATTGGACACTTACTGCGGTGGTTGCCTTCTTAAGGTACCAAACCCAGACACAAAAACAGTGAGTCAGTTGTTCAGAATTTTTTTTCAGACAGTGTCTTACTGTGTAGTTTGGGCTAGCCTTGAGCTCACTATGTAGCTGGTGGAGATCCTCCTGCCTCAGCCTTCCAAGTGCTGGGATCACAGGCATAGACCACCATGCCCAGGAAAAAAAGTTTTAATTTTTAAAAATCATCATAAATGGATTTTAGACCAGGAATGAAAATTAAGTTCCTTTGTAGCTATGGGACATTTTCATTTGTCATTACCTATCACTTATTCTCTCCAAAGACAAAGGGCTGAAACTTCAGTTACTACCATATAGTTTCCAGACCTGTAACATCAGAAGAGCTGTCAGAATTTGTAAGACTGTGTTTCTAAATTGTTTTTGATACATGGCTAAGGATATGGAATGAAAGCCGTAAGAACTGTGAGGGTCTGTGTATTTCCAACTAAGAAAAGCCACCATCTCTCCTGGTGCCTGTTTGAAAGTTTTTCTTTTATTAAGTGTATTGATAAATTAGATTACAAAGTCTACTGCAATAAAGGAACTTTGTTCTGAATGACTTTTTATAAAGCCCACACAGAAAATCCTGTAACAATTTCCTTTTACACGAGATAGTCACTGTCATTTAAGGGTCTGACAAATACCTTGATTATATACTCCCGAAGCAAGAATAAACAATAAAGCTAAGCACAGTGGCCCACGCACCTATAATCCCAGTTATCTGGGACACCAAGTCAGAAGATGGCAAGTTTGAGGCCATCCTGAGGAACTTAGCAAGATTCTCTTTTAAAATAAAAAATTAAAGGTTTGGAGATACAGCTCAGTGAGAAGGCCCTTTGGTAGTGAAAAAAAAAAGAAAGAAAAAAAGGGCTTAGGACACCACCCAACTGGTATTAAATGTCTGCTCAAGTTTACTCACCAGCAAGTGGCAGAAGGGAAATTTAAAACCAGGTCTATCTTATCTCAAGTGCTCCCCATAGGCGTGGTGACGAACACCTGTAATTCCAGCACTTGGGAGGTTGAGGCAGGAGGGTTGTTGTGAGTTCAAGGCCAGCTTAGGATACAAAATGAGCTCCAGACCAGCCTGAACTGCACAGAGAGACCCTGTCTCAAAAAGACCAAAAAAAAAAAAACCAAGTTCTCCTCACAATAAACTTTCCTCACCATTTCACTATTGCTATGCTTACGGGTTAATGCTATCTGTGGAATCTAATCTTGACCCTGTTGTATTATCTTGCATACCCAACGCTATAAGGCTACAGAAACAGTACAGGCTTGAATTTGCCTTCCTCTTGCCTCAATCTCCTAGAATGCTGGGATTACAGGCATGTACCACCATGCTTGGTGAAAAAAAATTCTAAAGCTGTTCTGATCTCTTCCTTTCCAGTTCCTAAGTACACAGTCTCTATCAGTGGTTCTCAAACAAGGGCAATGTTGTCCCCCACGGGTCCTTTGGAAATGTCTGGACACATTTTTCAGCATCACAACTGGGGTGTCTACTAGCATCTACCAGGTAGAGGTCAGAGATGCTGCTGAAAATCATCCCACAGGGCACAGGAAAAGCCTCCTCTAGCAAAGAATATACTTTCACCCAATAGCCATTTATTCAATAAATATTTACTGAGTAATATTGCGGCAGACATAGGAAAGTAAGGTATTTACTACCCTTAGAATTCCCCAGTGGGAGAGACCCTTTAGTAAACAACACACAAAACTCAGGTTCTTACTAGAAAATTCAACACTGTCTGTTATCTACTCCTATGAGAAGTCTAGTTGAGGGAAATGATAGGTAAAAATTAACTGAAAGACATGCAGCCTACATACCTACACAGAAGTCCCTGAGCTCAGCTGGATAACGAAGGATACACACTTGGATTATATTAAGTCCTTAAAGAAATGCCTTAATTAAAACCCATGTTTAATTGTGCTCTCTGCTTTCACTGATGAACACTGTAACAGCTGTGTGAAACCCTTTACTGACTTCCTTTAGAATCCTGTATGTATCATTTTGTGACACCAGAAGAAACTTAAAATTAGTGTTTCTTTCTCTCTGATGACAATTACCTGTTTCCCTTCATTCTGACTCCCAAGCCACTTATAGAGCCAACAATAAAACTAGCTGTATGCTGACCTGTATGTAGCCTGAGCCTTGGTGTTATTTCCCTATCCCTGACCCAGCTGGTCTTAGCTAGTGTCTTTTATTTTCCTCTTTCTGGGTAGCTAGATCTTACCTATATTTTAGCATGATTTTATTAGATTTGTTCTTGCTGCAAGTGGTCTCAATGTATAAAATGTGGTTGGGTATGAATAAAATAAAAAGTGACAACAAATAACAAGAAAACAACTAACACTGCTAGGGATATGCACGGGTAGCTTTGATGTTTGAACAAGACCCCAGGAGGGTCACACAGAACTTCTGGAAAGAGCTCAGGACTGAGCTGAACACTGACAGATACACCAGCTGTTAATTAAAGAAGATATAAGGGTGAGGAAATGTTCCGGACAAGAAATAAAACAGGTGTTAAGGGGTAGGTATGAGGAAGAACCGTTAAGTGGTTTGTTTGTGTCAGAAAAGTGTGTTTGGGGAGTGGTTAGACATGAGACTGAACAGGTACTTTAGATGCCACTTTGGGGTTTTTTTTGTTGTTTTTGTTTTTTTATCTTTTTGACAAGGTCTCACTATCCAGTTCAGGCTGGCCTTGAGCTCACTTTGTAGCCCAGGCGGGCCTCGAACTCGCAAGGATCCTCCTGCTTCAGCCTCCCAAGTGCTGGGATTACAGGTGTGTGCCACTACGCCTGGCTTAAATGCCACTTTGAAGTCTGGTCTAAAAGTATGATTAAAAATATGAGAACAGTCAGTTACTGTTTCATAAAGAAAAGAATGGGTGGGCCCCATCAATTTCCACAAATGACAGGCACCTTTAATAAGTAACACAACCCCTAAAGGGATTAGGAAAAAAAAATCCCAATCCCATCCTCAATCCATCCCCACCTCTTACTAACATCACCGATGAAGAACTGGGTCAGTCACAAAGGGCCCAAAGGGAGTAAGTCAGTGATTTTGGACAAAAACACAAGAATCCTGATTCCTGGACTTCCCATTCTCCTTTGCATCTGGTATTATCCAGATTTATAAGCAGTTCTACTAAGAAAAACTAAGGAACTCTGATAGTAACCTCACTCAGGGAAAGCAGTAAGAATCTGTTATGATTTCATGTCTCCAATTGTTCCAATGACAGTTTCTAATACAGAAATAAAACTGCTCAGTATCTCAGTCCTTTTCTCACTTTGTTTCACAGAAATCTGCAGTTTTGAGTTCTCGGGCTCCAACAGCAGTTCTGTTAAGAACAGACAACCAGCGCCATCCTGAGCACCGAGGTAGGCTTTCCACGGCTGAGCCCCGACCCTGCTCATTGCAATGGTCTGAATGTTCACTACTTGCAGAGCCATCTGGAGGGTGTCAGGGTGAACTTCTCCCTGCCAAGGCAACACCTGCTGATGAGCAACTTCAAGGCTAAGCCACGTTTTCTCAAAATATTCAGCAGTAAGCTGGCAACTGGGGACTAGCA